TAGATTACGAAGCCACGATATTTTTCTTCTTCCCACACTTCTTTTGCCCTTAATTTTACCCTGCATGATGTTTCTTAAAAGTTCGTACTTTTCATCTCTCACAATGTGCCCCAAGTATTCCATCTTTCTAGTTTTTATCTCATTTAGAATTTCGCATCTTTTGTCTAAAGTTTGGAGTACTTGCGTGTTAGTGACGCGGTCCATCCATGATATTCTGAGAATGCGCCTATAGCACCACATCTCGAAAGCTTCGATGTTTTTTATGGTCAACTGTTTTAGTGTCCAAGCCTCAACTCCATATAACAGGGTAGAAAAGACATAACACCGCAGCATTCGTATTCGTAACTTTATATTGATATCACGATTGCAAAAGAGTTTGCGCATTCTATTAAAGACTGATCTAGCGATTTCTATTCTACATCTAATCTCTTTTGTTTGATCAGTATCGTCTATGATTCAAGCACCTAGATATTTATAACAGAGCACACGCTCAATCGTTGTATTGTTTATTACAAGATTAGCTCTGATGTTCTTTGATTTCGTGATTACCATAAATTTAGTTTTTTTCAAATTAATTTTCAAGCCGTAACTGTTACAGTATATATTGAGACTTTGAACGAGATGTTGTAGTTCTACTAGCGTTCCCGTTAGGAGAACTGTATCGTCAGCATACCTTATATTGTTGATCGTCTCACCATTTATTATCAGACCAAGATCTTCTTCCTCAAGTGCTTGTTCACAGATAGCTTCACTATACAGATTAAATAAAAGTGGCGATAAGATACATCCCTGCCGGACTCGTCGACGGATTTGAACTTCTTCTGTTAGTCTGCCCTCAACCTTGACATTTGCATATAATTCGAATATCTTGGCTGTCTATATTTTCCTTTATTAGAACTTGTCTTAGGGTTCATGTTGTACTCTGTCAAAGGCCTTTTCGAAATCAATAAAGCAGGCGTAAACTTCTTGGTTCATGTCTAAGCATCTCTGTGAGAGAACGTTCATTGCAAACAGAGCCTCCCTTGTACCCAGCCCTTTTCTGAATCCCATCTGAGTGTTACTGATGTCTACGTCTAATTTCCTATAGATCCTATTATGGATTATTTTTAAGAACAGTTTTAGAGCATGACTCATCAAAGCTATCGTACGATATTCGTTGCATTCCTTTGTATTTGCCTTTTTTGGCAGTAGTATAAAGGTCGAACGGAGCCATTCCCTAGGTATTATTCCAGTTCTATATATTGTGTTAAATAGATCTAGGAGTATTTTAATAGATTCATCGTCCATAAGTTTGAGCAGTTCTACGGGAATTTCATCATGACCGGGGGCCTTACCACTTTTTGCTTGTTTGATTGCATATTCTATTTCTTCTCAGATTATATCAGGTGTCAGGCAGGGATGTATAATCTCGCCAACTCTGATAGCTACAGCGAACACATTATGCGAAAGTTACTAGACGGATGGAAGGGCGGAATATCAGTAGGAGGTCAAAAAGTTAATAACTTGAGATATGCTGATGACACTTTATTAATCGCGGCAAATCAGAAATAAATGGAAGACATAATGAGATGTTTGAGCTCGTCGCTTTTGAACTGGTCGCTTTTAAAATGTGGGTATACCGCCGCATGTTGAGAATATCCTGGATTGATCATCGCCTTAGCGTATCGATATTAGAACAACTTAAAGTAAAGGATAAATTGCTTAAACGAATACAACAGAGATATTTGTAGTATTTTGGACACATTGTTAGAAGAACAGGCACGATGGAAAAACTTATAGTCGAGGGTAGAGTTGGAGGAAAAAAACCTAGGGGAAGATCGCCAAGCCGTTGGGTAGATCAAACAAAAATATTGATTAACCAAGGATTACATGAAGCCGAACAACTATCCCAGGACAGAAAAGGATGGAGGGAAATCGTAAAAAAACTGTGAAGGCCTGATAGTGTCACCACATCCCAAAAGGGACTAGGACGGGGGAGGAGGAGAAAAGAAAAGAGATAAGGAAAGATATTTAGTTTCTGAGACCAAATTCAAGAAAAGATATCAACAGTTAATAATTAAATAAATTTGGTCAACTGAGCTGAGCTGACCAAATGTCCGCTTGACCGCTGAGTAAGCTGAGACTTGGACATTAAAAAAATGCAATTTTTAAAAGAATCGAGGCTTTCACGGAAAAGATTCAAGGAAAAAGATCTGTTGGCCGAAGGCAGAACTTATGGTTGAAGAATCTACGTGATTGGTATCAATGCAGATCGATTTATTTGTTAAAAGCAGCAAGTTAAAAAAAATAGCTATTATGATTGCCAACCTCCGTAGGGAGACGACACTCTAAGAAGAAGTTAGCGCAAATGATAGTGACTCAAGTCACAAAATAATGGAGTGCTACATCTGTCATCTGTGTATGGGGTACCACAAAGTTTGATATTGTGCCCCCTACTTTTCCTGATCTTTATAAATGACATCAATAATTTTAAAATCGATGAAAATTGTTTCTTTTTCTGATGCCTTTTTTTTTAAATTATGGTACCAGTATCACTCAGAAAAACTCTAATATTGCAACTTTTCATAAAACTATAACTTCTGCTCGACTTTAAATAAAAACCTGGTCTGAATCCAATTTACTCTCTTTTAATGTGGATAAGACAGTGGCATTATTCTATAAAATAAGGGAGCTCTTCAACCCTTGCTTCTTAATAACAGTCAGATCAATATCATTGATTATGTAAAATTTCTTAGTATTTGGATATACAGCAACCTTAAACGGTCCCTTCATATCGATTTTTTAAGTAAGAAACTAGCATCAGTATATGCTATGTGATAAGATCTGTTTCGAAGGAAATCAATTTAGCTTTTTCAAAATAACATATTTTTCTTTGTTCATGCTTTTTCTTCAATATGGTCTTCCTTTTTGGGGTTCTAGTACAGCTGCCCAATGTGATGTTATTTTTAAATTATAAAAAGAGCAATACGGTATTTGTTTGGCCTCAGAAGAACAACACATTGCAGAAGCTGCTTTAAAAATCATGGGATTTTAACGCTTCCCTCTTCACATATTTTAGAAACTGCTTAATTCATAAACCTCTAAATGTTTTTTCAGCAAAACCTAATCATGACTACTCCACCAGAAATTCAACCTTTGATGTGTATTTACCGATTTCGTCCAATGAGTTAGCAAAAAACTATACAACCACTTCTTTTTACAACTTAAATCTGCAACATGTTTCCCCAAGTTCTGTAAAATGACAAAAGCCTATCTATCTGAAAGACCTTATTATTGTGTACAAGAGTTTAACAAATAACTAAGAAATTACAGTACATTAACGTATAAGTAACTAAAATATTTTTATAGTTATTTGGTTATCATATGCAGCAACTTAAACTTATTAGTTCGTAAGGTTTTGTTATGCAATTTGCTATTTGTTTATATTTTGCAATGGATTGTTTATTTTATTATCTTTTATTTTGTGATATTAACCATTTATGTAATTCCAGTAAATTTTAATTGTTATTGTTATGTTCTGACTTTTTGTAAGTTTTGTCTATAAAATTGTACCATTTTCAGTGACAATAAAGCATATTTCTATTCTATTTTATTCTAGTTTTGTTAATTTTTAACTATGTATATTGTAAATTTAAAACAATCTTACAAAACTCTTTAAGTCTCCTTCTTCTTCTTTATTCTAATATGTATGTATTTAATGTCTATTTCAGTATCAACTTTCACCAACTATATCACAAAAAGTGATGAAGTCGAAGAAAGCTGGGCAAAAATTAAGTCTAATATCTTAGCCTCGGCCAAGGAAGTTAGTGGTGAAAGAAATATAAATAAAAAAAAATCGTTTTGTTGTACCCAAGCTGTGATATAAATTTAGACCACAATACCATAGTCGCAACTATCTGATTAAAACTTAAAAGAATAGACAAGGCTAAACCCAGTCAGAGAATAGCATGAAGTAGTGCTGACCAAGGACAGCAACAGAAGTAGACATGGTAGACATACAGTTAGAATCTAAGACAATAGTTCCCACCAAACAGGAGACAATAAAAGAAATCATTGAAGACATGTGGAGGAAAATTAAAAATACTGTCTTGGAGGCAGCAGATCAAAGTATACAGAAAGAAAACTGTAAACATAGAAAACCATGGATGACAAACGAAATATTACAAATTATGGAGAGGAGATGGATAGTAAAAAACAAAAACCTAACACGATACAAAGAACTCAACAGGGAAATTGAGAAAAAAATAAGTGAAGCTAAGGAAGAGTGGATAAAAGAAAAATGTAAAGAGGTAGAATATTTGCAAATGAAGCATAAATATAGAGAACTACACAAAAAGGTTAAAGAAGTAGCTGCAATATGGAAACCCAAACACTTATTGATTGTACCAGAAAAACCAATGGAATTAGACCCTGAAAAACAAAAAGAAATATGGGAGCAATATCTTAAAGATTTGTTTGGTGATCAGAGATCAGAAGAGCCTCCACAAATATGGATAGAATATTAAACATTCTCACCGAAGAAGTTTTGCAGGCAATAAAAGACGCAAAGAAAAACAAGGCACCCGGCAAAGACCTAATAACAGCCGAACATTTTAAACACCTAAATGATAATGCTGTCAGGAAATTTACATACCTCTGCAACATTATATATGAACATGGCATAATATATGACTGGCTAACATCCACATATATAGCTCTTCCTAAAAAACAAAAAGCAAGGAAATGTGAAGACCATCAAAGATACCATATCGGCAAACTGGTGTTAAAGTTTAAAAAAATGGACGATACTCTGATATTTCATTTATAAGACTGCAATATTTTAAGACTGCATTATTGTTTTACAATTTTGGTTTGATGTACTTAATTGTAACTTAATAATTGTTATTAGTTTTATAATGATTTTTTCTTTATTTTTGGGCATAATAGGATCTCGTTGCTCTGCTCTGATTATTTTTGTTATAATAATAATATTATATCTATTTATTTATAGCAAAACTCACCTGAACAAATAGTCCTCAGACACGAGGGCCTCATCATGCGAATGTAGAGACGCACCTTTAGGAATTCTCTTTATTATATCGAACACTTTCGAATACTGAATCTTGTCTTTCACCTTAAAGTAGTGTTGCGCTGCCAGAAACGTATCCAGATCTTTTAATCCAGCATCATATTCCGACAGTTTGTACCTCATAAGAACATCGTTAACTCTTTGTTCCTTCTCGGTAAGCTTAAGGGTTGCACCCAAACCGTAGTTCTTATCATTTTGGATCAGAGTCTCTCGTTCTGACCAGTAATCCGCGAGAACACAACCTTGAAGCACACTTATAGCGAATAGCACACATACTACATGCCACATTTGGTATTTCATTGTCGATATCGATCGGTTGATCATTGAAATGGAAATACAATAAACATTTTGCTCGTAATCTATTAATAACCAAATTGGATCTAAAGAGATTCAGCAAATTCAGGCCAGGACTTGGATTATTTTAACGATTGATAGAAAAAATGATGAAATCTTTTTATCACTGTTAATGGCTAGTGTATAGGGGAGCTCTAAAAAGGAAGTCGGCATCAGACTAAGGTTAATGTACTCGCATTTTAGAACTATATGGTTTTCAAAAGTTTTATAAAACTTATTATTATATGGAGAAAGTATGAGAACTTATTTTTTTTTTATTTTATTACGCTGAAGTAAGGTAATTAATCTTAAATATATCTTATTCGTCTGTGATTGATAAATATCTATTTTTATCTTAATCGAAATTAAATTACTTTGTTTTTTTTTTTTGTAGAATAGAAAATAAGTGAAAAAGGATCATTCGGATAGTGCAGAGAGGTTTAGATAAATGGTTATATTATAGAATGCTGTACGTGAATTACGCGAATGTTCGTCAAACAATATAAACTACAGGATGTCCTACACATGCTTATTTCTCTGTGTTTCGTAGCTTTATTACCTAAGATGAGGTCTTTTAATTGCATACAAGATGAAAAATCAACTTCCTGATTTTTTTGATAAAAGTTAAATTGTTACCTATAGTACGTTCGGGTCAATATGACCCACGTATTTAAACCGTTAAAAATTACCTGTGTACGTATGTTTAGTTGGCAGTATTTTATATATTTTCTAACAATTTGTCAGACAGATACGTCTCGAAATAGAAACAAGTTTCTGCAAGCTAGAACTTGTAAAAAATGTGTAGTGTAGCAGGACGATGTCATTTAGAAGGGCATGTCACGTAGAATGAAGTGGGCCGATAGACAAGTGGTAGGGTGGTAGGACACTGATATGCCAAGCGCATTTATTTGCATTTCAAATGTCAGTCTATGTTTGCGTGTCGATAATGTCGCATTGAATAACGCTAACCGAAGGTAAGCTTGGCAAGCTCGCGAACGCATTAGAGAGCGATTTGTGCATATCAGAAACAGAAACAATACGAGTAATGAGAGTGAGGAAGAAAGTAGTAATGATTCTGTTGTTTCATTCTACGTACAGCATCCTTTAGAACCTTCGGTAACAGTTCCTTCAAAAGAACCACTGGTAATATCCAGTGGTCTCTCAATTCTCCTTATCAACGCGGCCATTTTTCCACGGCCAATGTTATAAATAATGTTCCAGGAGTTACAAGGTACGCATGTGCACGAATTTATTTTCGATATCCAAAATTCATTTGACGTACACTTTTCTGACATAGTTGCAAACCAAATTATAAATATGACCAACATGGAAGGACAGTGCGTTTTTGGAACCAACTGGAAAGACTTGGTCTTTCCAGTTGATTCATGGAAAAACATACATTGGTCTTTTACTGTTAGCTGCAGTTTTTGGCGAATGAGTCTGATGGCGCATCAACTAAAAGTTTGTGGAATGAAGAAACGGGTCGTAGTGTATTTCGAGCAATAACGTCCCTGGAAGTATTTGCTAAAGTTTTGCAAGAAATACGTGTTAATAACAAGACTACTAGACAGGATAGGAGACGTACTGATGAACTTGCTACTTAGTTACTAACTTACTCCGTGGCGTTACAACCCTTCGTGGGTTTTAGCCGACTCGACAACATGCCTCCACTGTTTTCTGTCTTGAGCAACCTCCATCCAATTCTCCACGCCCATAGTGCTTAGGTCTCCTGCTATATTATCTCGCCACCGGAGACGAGGGCGTCCGCGTGGTCTCCTTCCAGTTGGGACTTACTCCCACACCAGTCTTACTGTTCGTTCGTCAGAATGTCTTCTGAGGTGTCCTGCCTATTGGAGTCTCTTGGACTTTACTTCTTTTATGATGTCTGGGTAAAGTTATTCGAGCTCTTTGTTAATTCTTATCCTATATTGTCCTGATGCTTCATCCAGCACAGGACCAAAGATCCTCCTTAGGATTTTTATTTCCCAAACACATAGTCTCTCTTAGTTTGCCTTTGTTATCGTCCACGTTTCACTTCCATACATCACAACGGGTCGTATGATTGTTTTATAGACCTGTATCTTCGTACGTCGTATTAGTTGTTTCGATTTTATAAAGTTTTAGAGGGCAAAAAGACATCTGTTGGCCAAAATCCTGTTATTATTTCTTGTGATCCGTTATTGTGTTTAGTTATTGTTGTTCCAAGATACTTGAATTCTCTAACGCTCTCAAAGTTAAAGTCATCGATGGTGATGTTTTGACCGATTCTGTCTCTGCTTTGGTTATTGCGGCTCATATACATATATATTTCGTCTTGTTTTCGTTGATTTGGAGCCCCATCTTCTCTGCCTCCTTCTCGAAACCTCACGAGAGTCTCCTTCATCCTTAATCGTGTGTTTCCTATTAGATCGATATCGTCTGCAAATGCCAGTAGTAAGTTTGGTCCTTCTCGATGAAATACTGTATTATGTTTTTCGATTTTTGCACTTCTGATTATGTACTCCAGAGCTAAGTTAAAGAGTTGTGGTGGAATTGTATCTCTATGTAATTTGCTGTAATACGTAAATTTGGGAAAAAACAAGTAAAAAGTCTACCAAAATTTTTAAACCCTGATAAAAATGTTACTGTCGACGAGCAATTAGTTGCCTTTAGAGGTGGTGTCCCTTCAAACAGTAAATTTTAAGCCAACCAGTGAAACATGGCATAACAATGTGGGCTTCATGTGCCAGTAAAAGTTCGTATATTCTAATATTACAAATCTATACAGGAAAGGAAGCAGGTGACGTGCCGGAACGGAATCAGGGAATGCGTGTGGTGTGCGAATTGTGTAGTGATTTGAAAGGCCACTATATTATTTGTGATAACTTTTTTACATCATACAATATAGGACAACTTCTTCTAAAAAAACAGAATGCTGGGAACTGTAAAAAAATAAGCCTTAGCTTTCAGCACAAATCATTTGTCTTTTTACTTCACGCAAGATACCACTGTTGTTAACTATATTCAAAAAAATAATAAAAATGTGTAAGAGGAAGACAAATCGGTGGCCTATGATTGTTTTTTATAATATGCTCGACATTTCTGCCTACAACGCGTTCGTTTTATGGACATCAATAAATCCCCAATGTAACACTAACAAACTTACAAAAGGGCTAATTTTTCTTGAGGAATTGGGAAAACACTGGTGAAACCACTTATCCTTTCCAGGAAAAATTTACCAAGAACTAAAGACTCACAAGAACTGGGAATAAGAACACGAACATGAGCAAGTAGAGAAGATGGAAATTGTAGTGAACCGTCTATGGAGAATCTCCAACTCTGCCTGCTAAACGAGTACGCTGTAAATTTTGTTCTAAAAACGATAACAAGAATAATATTTTATGATGTATATATCACAAACATATTTGTAAAACCAGTTCTTTTTATTACTGTCCCAGATGTAAACTAAATTAAATTTTGTAGGTATATGGTCTTAGGCTTTTCTGGCAAAGAAAAAAATGCATTTTTTTGTTAATAAGGTTTAATTTACATTAGCAACATAACTTTTGTTTAATTAACTATAATTTTTTGTTAATAAAGTTTTGTTTAGCACCATTAGCTTGTTTTATTTTGATCAAAGACGGTAAACCATAGTTGGGTCATATTGACCCGAACAGTACATTTTTGCATAGTTGACTCAAACCTTAGTCTTACCTTTAACTCTGTTTTAAAACTACTCTCTTGTGGCTGCCTTATACAAACTCCCTCTGCTTAGTCGTTTTCTTATTACTGACGGTCGTGATTTCCTACATACGAAAAACTATCTCACACACATGTGCGTCTAAATGAGGAGAGTGGAGTCTGAATGTTAAGTCCTTCTAGGATTGAGTGACTTTTTCTGTACTCTGTCTATGAGATCCTAAACAGTCTTCTCGAACACCACATCTCGAAAACCTAATTCTTTTCCTTGTCAGATGCAGAAAACCCTAGTCAAGGGTTTTCTGCATCTCAGAGTGTTTCATGTCTTGTTTCTTAAATTCCATTATTAATTGCTATAATTATCATGATTAACTTCAGTTATTATTTAGATGTTCATTTTGTTTTTGGTTGTTTGTTTTTTCTAAACGTACATACTAAATACTATTTTCTTTTTATTGTTTGACATAATGAACTTTTTTTAAATTTCCCTCTCAATTTAAAGTTGGTAACATGGTTGGTAGTACCTAAAATCACAAACGGCATTTTATTAGACATCAGTTTGAAAGTTTGTTTTTGTAGTTACATCGAACTATTTAAACAACAATAGTTCCTCCTACTACCTCTTTCTGTTCGTGAGATGTGACTGAATTCAAACCTGCGAAGACGACTGTTTTTTGTCAAACATGTCGTCTTATTTTTTACTTTTTAAACTTTGTAACATGTTCTTTAATTTTTAAGTTATTTTAAAGTTTTTAAGTTTTAATGCCTTCAGTAATTCAGATCACATTATGTTATTTAACGTTGTGTTTTATATGCTATGAATCTTACTTTCTGGTAAGTTTTTATAACTTTTATATTACATCAGCCTAATTTTATAACATAGTAATTTTCATTGTAGACCTTGATAAAGGTGGCAAACAACCACCGAAAGCTCGGATTTCAGAATAAATAGTACGCCTTAGCAAAGCTCTATTTTTTATTGACTACCACACCCAAAAAGAAAAAAGTATTTACATAATTTTTCCAAACTAGTCAAAAAAATTTTGGACTACCTTGTCTATATATATATATATTATATATATATATATTATATATATATATATATATATATATATATATATATATATATATTTCATATATTTCATATCCTTTAGTACACCATATGATATAATAACATAGTTTAATGTATAACCACCTATGCGAACCTGTTAAGTTCTGCCTAATAAGAAACTAGCGAATGAAGTTACCATTTGACTAAAAAAAAGTCAAAATGAGCTATTTTTACCAGCAGGCTTTGTTACTTGTAGGAGCAACTATTTTTAGAGCTCGTGAGAGAAAAATAACTGCTTTGAACTGATTTGCTTTATCAATGCCGTTACACGGATCAAAATCCTACAAGTGCGATTGGAAGTTCATGGTCATACCGAAGAAGACATACATGTCACAGTATTCCAGTCTTCAAGGTGCGTAATATGCCACGCTTTATAAAGTGAATTAGTAAAAGATTAGCGGTATTTGATATACGTATCTAATAA